TCTGAGTCTATTAAAACACCAAGATATTTTGTAAATGTAAGTGTATCATTAACACCCTTTTTTAAACTAAACAACATCGTGACTGTTTTTTTTTTTATTTAACGATAATCGGTTCGCAGTGAACCAGTCTACTGATTGGTTTACAAGAAATTTATTTTTTGCTCTAGCTTGTTCAGTTGTTATTCCTGCATTGCCTATAGAGGTATCATCTGCATAAAGTGTGACCTCTCCATCCTGTAAATAAGAAGGGAGATCATTCGTAAACAAAAGGAATAAAATCGGCCCAAGAATTGAATCTTGCGGAACTCCATATGCAATGTTGGAAGCCTCTGAAAGTATTCCATTAAAACGTGTTCTCTGGGTACGATTTGTTAAATATGACATGATAAGTTTGACACTACTTGGATGAAAATTATAAAAATAAAGTTTACGCATTAGAATGTCGTGCGGCACACAATCAAATGCTTTACTTAGGTCTATAAAAGCGGCGGTATATATTTCTTTATTCTCAAAGCACTGATTCATTTTTTCAATGAGATTAATAAGAGCTTTAGAAATTGATCGTCCTTTGCGGAAGCCATACTGGTTTGGATTTAATAAGTTATATTTTTCTAAATACTCTTGTATTTGCTTTAATAAGATTTTTTCAAATATCTTTGAAATAATAGGAAGCAAAGAGATAGGCCTATAGTTATTGGGGTCATTTACATCCCCTTTTTTAAAAATTGGTATAATTTTTGCTGTTTTTAATGCGTCTGGAAATATACTGCTTTTAATACACTGATTTATAAGTTTTGTCAGCGGACCGATTATGATGTTTTTTGTATCTTTAATAAGTTTCACATTAAATCCATAGATATCCTTTGAGTTACTATTATTTAAGCTCTCGATGAACTCACGCACCTCAACTTGAGACACTGTTTGAAATTGAAAGAAGAATGTATTATTTTGCAACGATTTATTATAATAAATATTGGGTCGAAATTAGGTTTAGGGAGAGCAGATACTATCGACCTGGGGATTGTCGCAAAATAACAGTTTAAGTCCTTTGACGTTACTTTACATTCATTTACAACTTTTGCATGTTTATCACTATTAATGAGCTGCCATAGATGCCCTAGGATTATTTTTATTTTGTATTAAGTATTTCTCGTTATATTCGATTTTAGCGTTCCTAATTGCCTTGTTATATTTCTTCTTACAATGTAAGAGTTCATTTTTTAATTCACTAGATTTATGCATTTTGCAGGTATCAGATAATAGACCCAAGGTATTTCTTAAAGTTTTAAGTTCCGAAGTGAACAAGTTGTTATTAATAATTTTGGACTTACTACTAAAAATAATTTTCTTTTTAGGGAAAGCAATATTGTAATAATAACTTAAAATATTTACAAACATAGTAAACTTATCGTTGATAACTACATCACAATCAATGAAATCCCAGTTAATTGAACTTAGCATGTTGAAAAACATGAATCTTCCTATTCGTGTTATAGGTCTACATATTTTACTCACTGGGCTACAATTCTTGTCATTATTACTTACGGATAAATCTACTAAAACACCACTATGATCAGACAAATTAGGATCAAATGGTGACACCTCGATTTCATTACCCATATTATTGATAAATACATTGTCTAAGCAAGCATCCTTGCGGGTTGGAAAATATACGAGTTGGCGATAGCCATAACTTAGAAGTAATTCACAAAAATACTTAGCATTAGGGTCATCTACATTAAAATGAAGATTAAAATCTCCTCCAATCATCACACATTTTTTGTTGAAATCAAGAACATTAAGCAGTCTCACAACTGTGTCAAAGAAAATTTGTATGTTTCCTAGAGAAGATCTGTATAAACTTACTACTATTAAGTTAAAACTGGATATCAAAATACCAGCCATTTCGCAATGTATTTCCACTGACAACCTTTTTATGTGGGGAAGCCTAGTAATCAGAACATCGGAATCAACGAGTTGCATTACATCACCGTGAATATGGTTTTCTCTTGCATAGTAATCAGCGAGTTTGAAAGCTCCAAAAATAACACTTTCAGCTTCACAAGCACTGAGCCAGTGTTCACTAATACATAAGACACTAACTCTAGATTTTACTAGAGAAGCGTCTAACAGGTTAACTTTGTTTCGTAGGCACTGTATATTTATAAATAATATTTTTACATGCATTGTAGCAGAAGCCGATGCCGTTATTTTACTTGATCTTGTTTGGGTTTCTTCTGAAAAAAACGAGAGATAAAGGTACCCTGTGGCCATCTGCTCGCATCCATAGCTTTTTCTTTGTTAACCAAGTTAACAGTAACTTTAAAAGAAGAGTAATGTTCTGGATATTTCGATTGGAGAACTTGACATTGAATTTCCGGAAAGTCTTTTTTTGGAAAATCGGTTATTTGTTCTATCGTGGTTTCTGGACGAAGTCTAGATATGTATAAAAATGCTTTTTTTGGTGCAAGTTTGAAAGCGTGTGTTTCATTTGCCTGGTTTGTTCCAATTACAAAGTTTTGATTATTACGGTAACTGTTTTTTGTTTTGAGTTTTCTTTTGTTAACGACTTTTTCGAATCCATCTAAGTTATCATTTTTAGTTTGAGAATGTATGTTGTTCTCATTACTTTGTCCGTCATTTAAAGTTGGTTCTGCTGATTCAGTGACTATGGTATCTAAAACGTCTGTAGATCTGTATGTATTTTGCGCAGCGGTTGATGATGAATGAACTAATGCTTTTGCATTTATTTTTTTCCCGTGCTTCTCTTCTTCATCTGAATCTGAATCAATTTCATCTAAAAAAAATCTGCGAGGCTGAACTCTGTCCAAATTCCGTGATGCATGTTTTGCAGGAGGACTATTTGTGATATTCTGCTGTGATAACAATGTTTCGTTCTGATTTAAATGCGATTTTTGGAAGATATTTTCATCGGATGGTTGGTTGTAAATAACGTTAGTTGGTACAGTGAAAGTTCTGGTATCATCATTATTTCTTACACCAATATTTGATAAGCGTTTTTCAAGTCCTGTGGTGTTTAAAGTCTATGAAGGTCTCTGCGTATTCATCGACATTTTTAATACATTAATTTTTAAGTCGTATATGTCACTTTGTAATTTATTTATTAGTGTATTTTGCGATATTATTAAGGTTTTGCAGTTTACGAGCTCGTCAAGCAATATAGATATTTGATCGTTGCATGCGCACTCGATATTTTTATCTTTAAAAAAATTTGAGAGACTTTCATTTATTGCACTTTGTAATTCAGCACTGGTGTCGGACACCTTCTTGGGCTTTGGACCCATAATTATTGAATCAAATAATTCGATTTAATGAACTATTTTCGGAGCAACAACAAGCACGTCTACACTCGTTCACAGTTCAATACAATAATACATATATCAGCTAATTTATTATTCACACTTCGAATATTTTGATAATAAAGTCGCAAAGTATCAGACGCACTATGTTGAGAGTAGTTATGACTGCCTAAAGAGATGTCGGAAGACTCTGAATCCAAGAACAACCTAGCTAATGAAACTGAATGAGTAAATAAATTCTTTTTGAAACTGTTCAGAGCCGCTTTATATGATTCACACAAATTATATTCCCATGCTGCATGATTTAAATTTAGATTCTCCGGCCGATTACGTATAGTTTTACAATTAATGCAGCATTTCTTGTTCTCTGTCTCTGAATCAACATCCGAAAAAGGGCAGTCTTTAACTTTATGTTTTCCAGCGCATAAGGGGCAGCTCAGTTCGTTTTTACACTGCTTACTACTATGAAAGAAGCCATTGCAATTGTAGCAACATGGTATACCAATAGCGTCATATACAGAACATGGATTAAGTCCAATTAAAAAATGACCAGATTTTAAGAAAAGATTGTAAGTAACAATATCTACTTCAACATCAGCCTGAAAAACGTTTTTGTTGGACCGCGTTGGCCAGAGACGAATCAACTTACAAAAAGAAGACTGCTGGATTAGATCTGGATTCTGTTTTTTCATGTAAGACAATAACCAGTTCTCAGAAACATCATTGGAAAAACCTACTATTCTAATCTTGGGATGGAAAGGATTTACCTCTTTAATATTATAAGTCTCTGAAAGATTAACAGACGCTATTTCTTTAAACTTCTTCCCTCCTGCTTCATCATTACAAGAAATAAGTAACTTTCCACTAGAGACAGGTTTGACTTTTGTTACCGCAATTTTCTCATCAATTATGTTAACTTTCTTTAATATATCCGATCGAGTCTGAGATATTTACAAACTCATTGTAGGTCTTTTTATATAATGCTCTAGATTTCGCCGGTAAAAGATTCAAAGTAATTTTCTTCGCTTGCTCTTCTATTGATGTGACACAATCGGCGGCACAATCGTCTTCATCCATACTCTTATTTGGTCACTTCCGCACTTTTAAAAGCAAAACACAAAACGTGAACGCGTTTTCAAAGTTTTTTTTGTTGCTAGGTGTTGCTTTAGTTACGAGGATTTGTTACCTCAATGATAAATTGATTTCAGTAGAAGGGAAGGTTTCTTTTAATTATTTTGTGTTTCAAACAAAAAAATGTCGATCGTACATAAAGTTTTGTATGCAGCTCTGGCGTAAGCCGCGTCTTTGGCCCTTGTCGTGTTAGAGCACTCGGGCTTTCGGTCCTCTTGCTCTAACCTCCACGCCGCGGGCCAAAAACGCCTTTCTTACGCCCTTGATACATAAATAACTATTTATATCATATATTTTACATTGGGTGTTATTTAAATGACATTAAATTTATATAAATTATATAAATTTAATATATATTATAAATTCATTACACACCTCACGAAAATATATTTCATCATTTTGTTTTATCTGTTATCTGTCTGATTAACTGTGTGAGATTTCATATAAGAAATAAAATTATTATTAATGTGTCTAAAGTAGTTAGTATAGAAAAGTCTGACGTCCTAATAACATAGATACATATTTTACGAACTTTGTTTCTATTTGCAGTCTGATATTTCTTCCAAAGTTTTCGTACCGTTTTGAGCCATGAATATCAATTTGTGATTAGGACTTTGTAGGTAAGGTATTGTTATTGCTGCAATGGGTTTCTCTGCAGTTTAAAATCAAGTATGATTTTAGTTTCATGCCAAATGCATGAGGCCGAGTACATAACATAAAAACATTTTTTATTATTCAATTACTAGACGCTTCATGTCGAAAGTAAAAACAGTCGACCCTCAAGAAATAAAAAATTTTGCCGATATGGCCAATGATTGGTGGAATTTGTCGGGCAAGTGTGCGCCTCTTCATGCACTAAATAAATGTAGAATACCCTGGATTCACAATCAACTGGTCGATTCTGGTGTCATTCAGCCTCATGCAAATCCATCTGCTCCTCTCGCAGGTCTTTCCACTCTAGATGTAGGTTGTGGCGGTAGGTTCTAGTTCATTGTTTCACGCTAATTACAAAACCAAATTTCAGGTGGAATTTTAAGCGAAGGTCCAAGTCGCCTTGGGTGCAACGTTACTGGTCTAGATGCGGGCGAAGATGTCATCGAGATCGCAAAATTGCATGCCGAAAATTTACCAAACCTGCGCTACGTCAACACAACTATCCAAGATCATGCCGCTGCGAATAAGGAAAAGTACGATGTTGTCGTGAGTTCTGAAGTTATTGAACACGTTACTGAAAAGGAGGACTTTGTCAAGCATTGCGTAGAGTGCGTTAAACCAGGGGGTTCTATTTTAATGACAACTCCTAACAAAACCTGGCTGTCATGGTTCCATATGATTTTCGTGTTTGAGAGCTTTTTCAGGATTTTACCGAAAGGAACGCATAGATACGACATATTCATTCACGTCGACAAGTTGAAGGAAATTTTCAAGAAAGGTACGTAGAAAGTGTGAAAATTGTGTGAGGTAATTTATGTTTGGTCCTTTTTAGAGAATTGCGAAACTATACATACTTCCGGAATTTTCTATTTTCCTGTTAACGGCAGGTGGTACTTGATTAACAATGAAAATCCTGGTTACCTTATCCATGTTATAAAACGACCTCAAATGTTCTAGTTGCTTTTTTCAAAAATGGAACGTTCTAGAAAGATTTGATGGCCAGGAAAGAAGATTTGTTAATGATAAATTTACTAAATACTAAAAACCAACAAAATAAAAATTAAAAATCCCTGCTTTTAATCCTTAATTGACATTAGTTTTTTGCGCATGGCCTTTGTTTGAAACTTATCATGAAATATATATTATTATACAATCTAAAGCACTTAATTAGAGTAGAGTTAAAATGATGATGCTGTTACGCAATAAACCCCTACGTTGCCGGGAGCTTTCTGGTAGTTGCGGCGATGTTGGGTGAGTCATCATCGGTCAAGATGGCCGAGCGGCGTTCCATAAAGACAACTCTGGAGCGGGTTACCAAAAGTCCCGATTTCGGGGCTCAGAAAAATCTCGAGCGGCGATCTCGATCCATCGGGAGGAACGTATAGGTTTAAATAGAACCCACCGTTGAGAACGATTATTATTATCATTCAGTCAACAAGTCCAGCGAGTGTCGAGAAAACCCAGACAAGTTTTGTATTTTGTACATAATCGTTGTGTAATTAACCCACGCCGATTTTAATCAAGGCTCAACGTAACAGTACGTTCGAGGAATTACAAAATAAAAAATGTTAAAGTTTCTGCGGGTTAAATTAGGAACAACAATCTTTATTTCACCTAGCAAATTATAACTACATATTACACCACACAGAAGCTTTTGACGAAATGACAAAAGAAACATATTCTGTCTAGATAATAATCATCATGATCATCATGCCTTCTAGGATATAATCAAAAGTCTTGAAATACATAAATTTACAAAATTTCCTATTATTATTTATAGGTGTCCAGCAGAGCTGTTCAAAGTACTCAAAAAAAGTACTTGAAGTACCAAGTACAAAGTACTACTTGAAATAGTGTTCAAGTAAAGTACCAAGTACTTACTTTCAGCAAGAGTATTTCAAGTATCAAGTACTTTTCAGATGTACTTGAAGTACAAGCCAAGTACATTACTTCAAGAACTTACGAGTACTTGAAGTACTGGAGGTATACTTCAAGTACTTACAAATACTTGAAGTACTGAAAATGCTTCAAGTACTTTCTAATTATTTGAAATACTGTAGAATTAGATAACTTTTCCTGTTTTTTTAAAAAAGCTTAATATATTTTAGAACTGAATTTTTTAATACTCAGAATTTAAGTATACAATAATACATATTTCGCCACACAAAAAATTGCATAAGCATCAACTTAAATGCAGAATAGTAGCTCACTTATTAATAATACTATGTTATGTATAAACAATATTCTTTTGAAATACTTTTACATCTTTCTGTTGACACAATGCCTTCGACAAAATTAACGTCTATTTCTAATTTAAAATTTAAAATAAAATACATGACGGCGTTGTCTATGTATGCTTACTATTAATTTATAACAAAAACGTCGGCGCTGTATGGTATTTTCTCAGGCTTCTGTTGCCTTTTTTTAATACTTTGAATTTTGGTTCACCACCAAAACGTTCTGATTTTTTAATAAAGTTGTGTTAAAAATATATGAATTTTATGAACCAGTTCCGTGTTTAAGTTTGTGGGTAGTTTACAGCACCCTTAATCATTACCCATTGTGAAAGTGCACAGGGCCGGATCTGTGAAACTGAAATTTTTCAGAAAAAAATTTTAAGAGCTGTGCGATACATATACATGCTCGTGACATAAAAATGTTTAAGTCATTATGTTGCATTTTCAAAAAAAACGTATGAATTTTTTAATAAAAAATAAAATGCCTAAAACGAGACCCCATTTTCAGCGAAAACTATAACTCTTGAAAAATATCAAGATGATGAAAGTAATTAGTTGTTTTTTACTTTTGCGGTTACCAAAAATGCTGAGAATTTTCTTGGAATGAATCATATTCCTGAATATATCTGTCTACCACTTACGTATTTACTATTCTAAAAATTATTAAATTAACCTAAATACTACAGTGACTAAATAGTAAAGACTAATCACTACAATGTTTGTCTAACTAAATATGTAACTTTACACTGACAAATCACAAATAATAGGTTCGTAATGCTGTTCCGTCCATTTATACAAAATTTTGTTCCTCTAATGCCACAATACTTTCAGAATTTTCCTTTACATTTTCGATTGGCTTATTTTTTATTTTTATCTGAAAACCCAAAGAAGATGACATTAGTAACTGATAACTACAATGACTTCAGGGAATGCCTAACAACGGCTTTTGCGAAAATTCAGGTAAATATGTACTAAATTTATTATTGTTAAAATATTTCGTAGGGGTGTATTTATCTAGGCAATTATACTAACTAATGGCGAATTTCATTAACTTTGTATTTTTTTATAATGTGAATATGTATTTTGTTCCATTTACGGAAGCGGCCACTGACCCTTTTGGGTATCTTTACCTGATATTGTAAATACAAATGTAAATTCAGTACTTCTGTAACCGTCCTGTATTTAAACATCGAAACCGAACGCTGTCTATTATTTCGCACACAACAAAACAAAGGTCCTTCGAGCAATATCAAAGTACAATTCGGTACTCATCAAAACCATACAATCATGGTCGTATCAACTGGATTACAAAAAACATTGGTACTACGAGCCGAGTTTCACAAAACATATTTCATTTTGAACAGTATTGGGTTTATGTAATAAGCGATGCAATGTAACTGCCCATTCACAATGGACATAAGGCATAACAAGTACATAAAGCTTACATAAATACATAAAGTTGAAACGATGGAAAACGTGTACCCCTGTTCACAGTGGACGAACGTAATTCTTATGCTTATGAACGTTTTATGTAATCCTTATGTGCGTACACAAAGTTGAAATAAGTTCAACTTTGTGCACGAATTATGTCAAAATTATGTTAAAATCTAGGGACTTTTGAATGCTGCTATTGAATTCCCTTTGACAGTTGGCACTTGGCACTTCACACCTTTGATTATATTATATAAATTATAATCAAAGCTTCACACTGCGAGTCTGTTCTGTACTGCGAGTTGTCAAGTTCGAATATCGTATGAAATTGTAGGTTAGATATTTTGATTGACTCAGTTTGAGGTTAGCCGTTTCTATGTTTAGCCGGGAGTTATTCCGTTCTGCGTTTGCGCAGTTTAACAATTCTTACAGAGTTCACTCTGTCCACTGTGAACGTAGATAAGCATAAGCCAGACACAAACCAAAAACGTAAATTATGTTATGCACTCGTTCTTATGTCTTATGTCCATTGTGAATGGGCAGTAATACGTAAAGTTGTTGTACGGTAATAAATAAAATCCGCACAGGAAAGACAAATGACACTAATTAGTGTGACTTTTAAAATCATTGTTTTTCTGCATTACGTCTTTTTAAATTGTTGGTGTTCAAATAATTCATACAATTTAAAAGATTATTTGAAACTGTAATGTGAGAAAATATAAGTGGTATACTATCCTCAAACATATTTGGCGTTTATGACTTCACACCAATTTGACTCCCATTATAATTCAATAGGCCGTCACAACCGGATGTCTTAAACCCGCTCACCGATACCTACCTGAAAAGGCCTTTTCTGGTAAAAGCACAGGGCAGGACTGAGTTTTGCATTTACCGACAACTGCGCCTTTCGAGTTTTTTATTTTAAGTAAAAACAAAGTAACTTTGTACTCAATCATTTTTTATTACAGCACAACTATTTACTTATTAACTACTACTGCTTATTTATTAATCGAAATAGTCACTGTCATCATCACTCGACTCTTCTAAATTAATAATTAACGGTGTTATCAACCGTGCCCTGTACTGGTCTTCTTCTTTTGTGGAATGTCGTACACAATTGGCCCACATTTCGGCAGTTATTTTGGAAGCTTCTTCCCTAATTATGTCAATTGTTGCACTACTAAATTTTGGTGCCGTATTATTCCTTTTTATATTATTTTTCATTTGCGACCAGATTAGTTCGATGGGGTTAAATATACAATGGTACGGCGGAAGTCTAATCACCCTAAATCCACGATCTCGCGCCATAGCATCTATTTTATATTGTTTCTCAAATTTTCGAGTGTGTAACACTTCTAATAATTGTGTCTTTGTGTAATTTTCTTCAAAGTATAAATCATGTTCTGTAAGGAAATTTTGAAATTTGAAAATTTTAACAAACAAAATTACTCTGAGTGCGGTCCTTCGCGTCTCGACCGTCCCTGCCACGTCGAAAAGGTCTTTTCAGGTAGGTATCGGTGAGCGGGTTTAAGACATCCGGTTGTGACGGCGTATTGAATTATAATGGGAGTCAAATTGGTGTGAAGTCATAAACGCCAAATATGTTTGAGGATAGTATAATAACAAACTAAGTTTATATGGCTGAACCATGTATAAACAAAAAAAGAAAATTTGGTAAAAAACGAGTGTCTAACATGATAAAGAAAATTAAACTGCAAAATATTTAACATAAAATTGTGTTTAAATTCTAGGAGGAAGAGGCGAATATGAAAGTCTGTACCTGCCATCATCTATTGCTATTATAATAAAAGGGATAATCCCCTGCCGAGTTCTCCGCCCTGACCAGGCTTCTTACTGACAAATACACGGCGGGGTTAAGAAACTAATGAAAGAATAAATATCTTTTTGAACGAGTACTGAATCATTTCTCAAATATTTTCAAATCCGACCTTGCACTTTAGCAGGTACGTCAACAAACCCGATTCCCTTTGGGGTACCGGGAAGGTACTGAAAAACTACCCGCAAAGTTAAGTTCCAGACCAAAATACAAAAAAGACAAAATTCATATATTCACAACTTTACATCGCTGAAAATTTTACACAGATCTCCGACCCTTATGCTGTCGTCATCCACTCTTAAATGACATATTTATGACATTAATTTTCTTACCTACCTATCTATCGGCATTATGCAAGTACCTATGAAATGTACGTCATATTGTGGATAAGATATCCACAATCACAGATCAAAATATAACCTCACAGGAAACAAACACGATTTTACTATAAAAATACATCTAATCAAATAATTGAATTAATAACTTCAAGTATTTAACAGACCCTATTTTGAGATGTGAAAACTTCGTAAAATAGAGACTAAAGTATTTGAAATTTCCACTTTCATACTTCAAGTAATTCAAGAGTATTTAAAATACTGAGTGAAGTACTTGGAGTAAAGTACTTGGCAAAATCAAGTACTAAACTCAAGTACATTTTAGAAATACTCCAAGTACCAAGTACCAAGTACCTAAATATAAAAGTACTTCAAGTAAAGTACTTGAAGTACTTAAAGTACTTGAAGTATTACTTCAAGTACTTTTACTTGAAGTACTGAACAGCTCTGGTGTCCAGATAATGCAACAATATTTCAACTGTAAGTGCACAAGTGCATAGGAAAAGAATTTAATGCGTGATAAGTTAGCAAATTCTCTGACGATTCTAAAAATAAAACCTAAAGTTTTCAACGTGGTACATTTATATTATATTAAAAATAAATATGATTTCTCTTCCTAGAAAAGTTTAGGACTAACTTCCAAACAGTTTCTTTTACACCAATAAATGAAATTATATAAGTCATGCTGCAGTTCAACACAATACTCATATGAATCAATGTTTTTAGCAATTTTTTATCATCAGTATACACATATGCATGAGAACTAATGTAATCTAACACATCATTAAAAAATAAAATGAACAATAGCGGTCCTAAATTCGAACCCTGGGCAACACCTGAATAAGCACAAAAATTCCATGAGACAAAACCTTTATGTTCTATATATTGCACCCTGTTTGTTTTAATAGATTGCAGCAAGGTAATTAATCCGTCACAAGCCAAAATTTCTGAGTTTTTTTTTTATAAAATACAGTGGTGAAGGTGAACCTTATCAAATGCCTTCGACAGATCTGTGTACTTAACATCAACTTCATTGAATGACTGCGAGCCGTCCCTTTTCGCCCCTGGAGGACCCTATCAAGCTGCCGGAAACAACGATATTTTCCGCCCTTGCTGTCGTTACACCTTATAAAATTGTAAGACGTTTCTATGCCATCTTCTTATCTTTTGATAGGAATGTCGCGGTACACGATATTGATCGTATGAAGGTGTAATTTTTCGAGAACGCTTTCTATATTTATTACCCAATTTAAAAAAGAACTCAGAATCTAGTTCCCATAACTTATTTAGTCTTGATTTTGTTGAAAATTTAATCTTAATTTTGGTACACCTTTATTAATGGTAGTAGGCACTGAATAGTACCGAGTTGGTATTATTTTTCTTAACTAGAGTTTTATATCAATAGGAGCGCATGCCAACATCTTAATTTTTTCTTTGTCTGATCGATTTTGATTTATCTTACGCCAGTTTATTATTATTATCAAGTAGAACTGAATAGATATTTTTTAATCGGAGTTTTCTTGTGATATCGTTCTCCACCCTATTTGCTCCTCGTTGCGGGGTAATCTTATACAAAAGGTAAGCTACGTGGTGCCCAACAAAAACATCAAAACATCCCTCTTAACCGAACCATGACTCGCCCTGACACAACAGCTGCGTACGCTGATAACTGACCACCACAGGAAAAGGTTATAATCTCTAATTTTCTTCATCAGTAAAGATATATCCCCTCTACTTTTCCAGATAGATGGAATCATTCTGATCCACAAAAAAAATCAGTCACAACTGAAAGATTACCGTTGAATCGCAATATTGTCGAACTTTGGGCTAAAATTTTTGAGCAAGTTGATTTTTAAAAATATTCAATCTTACATTTCTCTTTATCAACATGGGTTTATACCTGAACGAACCATAGTCACCAATCTTATTATCTTATTTGATGTTGTATATACCAACTTTTCAAATACTTTTAAAACTATGGATTATCGAATTCTACTGGATAATCTTAGTTTTTCGCTTTGCACCATCATTCCCAGTTCTTATAGTATCATATTTATCACATAGAAAATTATGTCTCCTATAATGATTATAACAATCTCACTATCTGGCGTCCCTCAAAGGCCTAATCTTGGACCACTCTTACTTATTTGATCATTGATGATCTTCTTAAATCATTGTCGTGTGTTTATGCTGACGACATGAAGATTTATTCTAGAAGTTTGACGAAACTGATAATATATTGTAATTTGGGCATTTAGCAATAACCTACTATTGTCAAAAAATTTAATGTTGTGTAATTACGTACACTCGTAGAAAACATAGTTTTCCTGCTTTTTATACCATCAATGATATACCATTGTCCAAAACAACCCCTATTCAAGATCTTGGAGTACTATTTCATTCTAATATGACTAAATCATATTGAGAATATTGGCTCTATTGCTTCAAAAATTCTAGGCTTGGTTATGTAAAATGTTAAATTATTTCACAGTCAACTAATGTCAAAATTTTGTAAACTTGAATTTGTTTCCAACATTTACTTGGTTTATACATTATATTTGCCACCAATTAACATTAGTTAAAGTTTTTATCATTCAAAATTCTTGGCACTTATCCCCCACGGTATAGATTATAATTTACTTTTAGAAATATAAAACCTTGACTCGTTGGTTTTTTGAAAAAGACGATTTGGTGGCAGATTTATTTAGAAGATAACTAATACATGGCAGATTGGCCTGCAGTTATATCACTAATTTGTTAAGATTCCATGTTCCCCGTCAGAATGCTTATGATGCTGTAATATTTAGAAATTCCAACTGCGAGAACGGATTTACTAAGAAAAGCACCCTTAACAACAGTGTATCGGGAGACCAATAATTTTCGCAGAGATATTTTCACTAATAGTAAATAACTTTTCTTTTTCGATTTTTTTGTAGTTTCTACTATGTAATTATTTTTACTAGTTTATATATCTAGTAAATAATATGTGTATATAGTATCTTTATTTCCTATATATAATTGTCGTATAAGTGGGCTAAGAACCTGTGGGCAATAAAGTCGCTATTATTATTATTATTATTATTATTATTACAATTTGACAGAATTCATTTAACTTTGTCCGTAAGCCCCGTATATTTTCCTGGAGTCCAGGATCTTGTTATCATTGTTGTTTTTAATACTTAATAGTACGCTAACTTTTAAACAAGTAATAATGTAAGTCAGATTTTTTGCACTTGTCTTTATCATAGGGATTTGTGACATTTAGCCCCTGAAAATCGCCAAGGAAGAGTTACTATATATTACGGTGGGGAGACTTTGTACCATAAAAACATGTAGGACTGCAATTTTGCACGTAAAATTTTTAAACGGGGATTCGGCTTCTGATCAACGACGTGATAACATGTAAGTAACCTTTTTTTGTATTATTTAGGTACGTACTTTTTTGTGCATGTCGATTTTATATGGTTCAGTTTTTTTTTAATTATCACCGAACTATTTTTTTAATTTCTAACTGAAAAGAAGGTGACTGATATTCAAAAAAATAATAATTTCGATAATATTGGTACACTTATTTTTTACTTCTATTGTCCGAATATATGTTTTTTGGATTTTCCAAGTTTTACAAAATTATAATAAAACGTTAAATTACATAAAATAAATTTTCTCGTATCCATTTATTAAATATATGTTAATTGGACAGTTTATACAAAATGTGCTTTAAACTGCTGATATATCACAACGAAAGTGTTCGTTGTAATTACAGTATTTATTTAAAAAAAAATAGACCAAGAAATAACCCAGCTAAATCTGTATTACACAATAATCTCAGAATTAAAAGTTAACACTGTAATAATAATTCTTTATGGAAATATGGCAACCTTGTAAACTTATAACTGACGAAAAAATAAAGTTTAGCAAGGAAATGAAATATTAACTCTGAGACAGTTGAACCGACGCGGCTCAAGTCGAAAAAAGTAATCGACATTGATTATTATCATGAAAATACTTAGTACCACACCTGTGAAAGATTTTATGTATACATTTATACTTACTACAAATTAAATCGATGATATGTGTTAATAATATTTTTATATTTTGTTGTAAATGAAATGTTATTTAAAGTATGTTTTACGTTTCCGTTGTAACTGTCTGCCTACATACATTTTCATGGCATGGATCTTCTTCACGCCGTACACACCTAGAATTCAATTATTTTACAAGCAAATGAATCACAGACCAGCAACCATTTTTTGAAACACAACCCCGATTTTTACGTAAATTTTAAACAGGTACACGTCATCTGTCACAAATTGACGAGGGTATTTACTCCAGGGAGGGTTTTAAATTTTTTACTCCGCTAGAATACACGAAAGAACTTTTTTCTACGTGGGGTTTAGTTGTATAAATTATTAGTATTAATTTTTGTCTTTACTAAAAGAATGAGTAATTACTTACACTTTTCCAAAGAAAAAGCAGAAGACTTGTGTACTATAAAAATAACATCCCTGAAATGAAAATAAAATTTATTGCTGAATGCGTACAATACACTGATTGTAACAACGCAAATAAAATCTAAAAATGTATTTGAAGTATAGAATAAATCTAAAAAATAGGTGTTTCATTAAAAGCTGGTTTTTGTTATTTATACAAATTTATTGAAGATGTTGTTATATCGATACAACACTGCTTTATTTTACATGAAAGATTAAGAGAAAACTATAAAAATTGGTTCAAGGTTATTTAGCAGAACTTTTCTCGTCCCTACACTACAGTCCAACAGTTTTGAAAAATTCTAAAACTGATTTTGTGAATTTTATTGTCAATTGATTACCATTATAATACAGATATATGTATAAGTAAAAAATTTTCAATAGCGACCGTGCTCTTCTTAAAATGTTTTCAGGGCATTCCTTTCGCAGTCTCTAAGTTATCTTGAAAATGTTGACATACATTGTAAAATATTTTACAGTGTAAAAATTCAGGGCGAATTCATAAACCAGTGAATATTGTCTATAAAATATTAAAGTTATTAGAGATCACCTAAGTAAAAAAGGTAGACATTCCATCTCCAAGATATTACTTTTTGTATTGTTTTTAAGAAAAATGTTTTAGTTTACAATTTCTGATATATTTCATAAAAGATAAAATATACTCCATGGGTTTATTAACATAATATTTATAAAAACATATGGACTTTTTATGTTAATCACTGAGACGATGCACTAGGCGTGTTGATAAACGGGTTATCAAGTTCTGTTTGCAATAAATACAATTTATTTATAAACCTGGCCAGATATCAATTGAAACAATTAATTTTAGCAAACAATTATGATATTAATTTGCCTACTCTGCAATTACAATTATCAGTTACAGATGTATTTTTAGAGCAGCTGAAATTTCAAAATTGCCAATAAATCATAATGTATTATAAAAATACTATTAAGAAACGTAGCAATTTCTTTGAATATGTAATCTAATGAAAATCTTTCAATCTCAACAAATGGTAACTCATCAGTCTCATCACTATAACATAAGTTTGGATAAAGTAGCTGTTAAATTGATTTTGCACACAAATTGTATTACTTATTCTTTTGATAATACTTAATGTAAATATTGAAGAATAATCTGTAATAGTAAATACATATGGAAATATCAAGAAGAAATTAAAGACTTCTTGTATTAATTTACCACAGGTGAAATTTACGCATTTCGATATCAACGTAGTTTGCCTGTGGGTTGAGTTACCTATCAGGCGCGTCCCCAGTGTTGCGGATAGGGGGAGACCGGCATTGTCTGGGGAAGGGGGGTCTGGGGAGGGCGGATATGCCCCCGGGAACTAAACACTCTTGGGGGTGGTGGAAGTCCGACCTGGATTTTTCCCTTCTCCAGATATGTAGGTTAGGGCTGAGGCTCGTCTTGCCTGGACATGCCTTGGTGGTTGTCGGCTTAGACGGCCGCGAAGGCGGTTCAGTAGAGGAGGGCTGGAAATAAACGTGCCCCCCCGGGATTAAACCCCTGGTGTGGGGTCGTCAAAACAGCCCCGCGGACAAGCTCCCGCGTGTTTGTGCCGTGCGTGGAGACCCGTAAGGTGGGATGAAGGAATCCTGGAGGTTGAGCCCCCCTTGGTGCAGTGTGTCACCAAGGCTGGGCAACACGCCTCTTTGGCCTGGATTTCCACCAAAACGGGAGGTCGAGACTAACCCATCTCAGATCAATCGGCTGTGTCGTCGGGTCAGACCGCCGACAGGGTGAGTCCTTGGGGGAAGTGTAGTCTGAGCACGAGTAACCTCACTAGTTGAGGCTGCGTACTGCAGGATGAGCTTCCCTGGGGGCTATATCCTTCTGCTAGCCCTGACGTCGAAGTTCGGCGTCCCCTTGTTGGACTCCGTGGTGGGTGGGGACGCAGGAGGACGAAATCAAAATCCAGATTATGGAAATCGAAAACAATAAAAAAACCACTGAGGAAGTGCCTTCGGGTGCACCTCAAACAGGAAACCCAGCCAATGTGGGGTCGCAGCCTCCTAGGAGGAAGCGAATCTGCGGGGCTGAGGTAAAAAGGCGGAGGAAGGCTCGTTTGCAGGCGGAGGCGGCGAATACCGACCCGCCGAAACCGGGTCCATCCTCCTCCGGGATAAACCTCAAGGGTAAAGGGCAGGCTACGATAGCCAACCCTAAACAACCCGCGGGGAAAAAGACCTCAGGGTCAAAGAAGAGAGTGAGGTCTTCAACCTCCACACCTCCGGCAGCTGAGAAGCAAAAGAGGATGAGGAGGCAGGAGACTACCTCTAGAGAACAGAGCTACAGGGAGGCGGCTGCAAGTCATCTCCGTGTAGCTGTGATTGATGTGCAGCATCCACTTGGTAAGCTGACTGCTGGCCAGGTGGATATAGTACAAAAGGGCCTGATGGGAGCGCTGGACAGGCAACTGGACCAGTGCTTGGCATCGGGTAGACAAGCAGCCACTTTCAGGGGCATGAAGTACACAGGGGAAGTCCTAAGGATAACCTGTGAAGACGAGTTGTCCCTGAAATGGCTACAACAAACAGTGCGCTCCCTAACACCCTTGTGGGAGGGCGCACAACTTAACGTGGTCCCCTTGGCTGAGCTACCAAGGCTGGTGAGGGCGACCCTGTGGATACCGGGACCACCGGTGGATGCAGGAGTCGTACTTCGCCGCCTGGAGGGTCAGAACCAATGGGCCCACGTCAAAAAATGGCTTCTTTTCCATCGCGAGGCCAAACCCGAGGCTGCCTCTCCAGGCAACCTCTTTGTGTTTGGTCTTGGGATGGAAGAGGCCAAGATAATCAGGGAGAGAGAGGGCAGAATTAATTATATGCTGTCCTCTTTCAACCTGAAACTCAAGGAGAACGAGGCGTCGGCTCAGGAAGGGCGGACCCCTATGGAAGAGGTAGAAACCCCAGGGGATGAAGCCTCTACCAGTGGGGGCGGGCCCGCCTGAGAATGTGCCTCGTGTCTCCTAGGACAATTATGGGATTTTTGGTTGCAGAGATGGCGCTGCAGCAGATAAATTTCATTCAGATTAACCTGCAGCATTGTCGCATGGCGACGACTGTTTTGTGTCGTCGTCTAGACAAGATGCAGAACACTATAGCAATAATCCAAGAACCATGGATTGTAAAATCCAGGATCGCAGGGTTGAGCAATTTAAATGGCACTGTTGTTTCAGGTACCACAATAGAATCTCCAAGGACATGCGTCTACATTCCGAGGAAAATCAAAGCCGTCCTCCTACCTCAGGTCAGCTCCAGGGATGTGACTGCGGTAAATGTTAAGTGTAACATAGGAAGAGGCGAAGAGCAACTGGTAATAGCATCTGTGTACTTACCACAGGGAGCACAGGAACCATGTCCAACATGGGAAATGGCGAACTTGGTGGAACACTGTGATACCGGAAATATAAACCTCATCATCGGTGCCGATGCGAATGCCCACTGTCTGTTGTGGGGGAGCAAAGACACTAATGATAGAGGAAGAACACTAGCTGAATATCTTTTATCAACAAATCTAGAGATTCTCAACCGAGGCTGCGAACCAACTTTCGTAACATCACGTAGTCAGTCAGTAATAGATATTACACTGGCTACATGGGATATCTCACAATATATAATGGGATGGCACGTCTCTAAAGAGGCGTCAGTGTCAGACCATAGATGGATCATGTATACATCAAAATGTATAGACATGGAGATAAAGACGTACAGGAACCCTAGGCTGACGAACTGGGCTTTATACAACGAAGAACTGGACGACAGACTGGGGACCTCCGTGCAGTCTATACCAACGGAATACATTTCGACAGAAGACATAGAGAAAACCTTGACCATTATCAACGACTCTCTAATGTCAGCGTATGAGAAAAGTTGCCCCCTAAAGAAGGAAGGTCTGGGCAAAGGTACACCATGGTGGAACCGAAGGCTCAGCCTACTTCAATCGGGGCTAAGAAAACTTTTCAATAGAGCAAAAAACACTAAGAAAACTGAAGACTGGGAAGCCTATAAAGAGCACCGGAAAGAGTTTAAAAAAGAATTAAGAAAGAGGAAACGGGAAACGTGGAGATCCTTCTGCAGCGACATAACGTCGACTGCTTCGGCCGCAAGGCTGAAGAGAGTTCTCTCGAAGGACCACACACATCAACCAGGTTTCCTAAAGAAAGAAGATGGCACCTTTACAGCCACCTTAGAAGAGTCCGCAGAACTTTTGCTGCAGACCATGTTTCCAGGCAGCACACGGACTACCTCCCATTCCAAAAGGGATGTAGTCGGTACTCAACCTTCCCCGAAGGACTGGGCGCTGGCTGCAAAGGTAGTCACGGAGGCAAGACTGGAGTGGGCAGTGGACAGCTTTTCCCCATACAAATCTCCAGGAGTTGACGGTATTTATCCCGCCCTCCTGCAGAGGGGAATGAGCAGACTACGCCCTATTTTGTTGCCAATGCTTCGGGCGTGTCTGGCTTTCAGCTACATACCGAATGCATGGCGAAAAGTAAAGGTTATCTTTATACCTAAGCCAGGACGACAAGATTACACCTTGGCTAAATCCTACAGACCAATTAGCTTAACATCATTCTTGCTGAAAACGCTAGAAAGACTAAGCGAAAAAGAGATTCGGGAGACTGCTTTGAGCAAGCAACCTCTACATCCGAACCAACATGCCTACATCCAAGGAAGATCCACCGATACGGCCCTACACACAGTTGTAAACCGTATAGAGTGGGCGATGGAGAACAAACTCTTCACCTTAGGAATGTTTTTGGATATTGAAGGAGCGTTTGATAAAACGACCTTCAAAAGCATAGAACTAGCCCTACGAAAGCACGACGTGGACCCCACCCTAAGTAGGTGGGTGGCCAGTATGCTGAGGAACAGGGAAGTAATGATTAATGTAGGTGGCACTGAGATCGAGGCTGTTGTAGACAGGGGATGTCCTCAGGGAGGAGTTCTCTCTCCTGTACTGTGGGATACTGTCGTTGACAGCCTGATACGACGCCTCAATGATCTTGGCTACCACACAATTGGATACGCGGACGATCTAGTCATTCTGCTAACAGGAAAAAACGCAGATACATTATGTGAGATAATGCAAGCTGCAGTAAAAATAGTCGAGGAATGGTGCAACAGACATACCCTCTCCGTTAATGGAGAAAAGACGAAACTAATCCTGTTCACCAGGAAAAGGAAAATTGGCACACTACAGATGCCAAAAATATTTAACACAACGCTTCAACTTTCGGACGAAGTCAAATACCTGGGAGTTGTTTTGGACTGGCGACTGAATTGGAAGAAGCATGTAGATGATAAAGTAGAAAAGGCACGCTCGGCTCTCTGGCAATGTCGTAGGGTGGTGGGAAGGTCGTGGGGTTTAAATCCCAAGATCGCCCTTTGGATCTACACGGCAATAGTCAGACCGATGCTGTGCTATGGAGCTTTAGTTTGGTGGCCCAGAGCCAGACAAAAAACAACAGCCCTGCAACTTGAACACGTTCAGAGAATGGCGTGTCTCAGTGTTACAGGAGCAATGAGGACCACTCCCACAGCGGCTCTGGAGACTCTTCTTTGCTTAGCACCTCTCAACCTTTACATAGAGGAAGCGGCAATGACGACGTCTCTAAGACTTCACTCTCTGGGAGTATGGAACAAGCAAGGCCGCACAACGAAGCACACTCGGATCTTAACGGAGGCGTTCAACAGAATACCCTTGTTGAGGATGGGCTGTGACCGAATGGGCACAAAATTAATATATGAGAAGACATATAGAATATCAATGAGTGATAATTCAGAAGGACGAGCCGACATAGATATCTATGTCGATGGTGCCAAAACAGATAGTGGTTCAGGAGCCGGCATCTACTCCGAACAACTGAACGCACAAATCAGTGTACCTCTCGGCACCCACACGTCTGTCTTACAAACAGAATTGATGGGAATAATGCTGGGAGCTAGAATCATTGCTGAACGTGAAATCGGCAACAAATCAATACGCATACTTACTGACAGCAAGTCTGCACTACTAGCCCTGGACAGCTGTATGGTTCGATCCGGGCTGGTTTGGGAGTTCAGACAAACGCTAAAGTATGTAACGCAGAGGAATAGTGTGGTACTTTGTTGGATCAAAGGACACAGTGGCAACGAAGGAAACGAGAGGGCAGATGAGATGGCGAAGCGAGCCGCGCGTATGCCCTTCTGGGGACCCGAACCGGCAATCACGCCTTCGGTCGCCCTCTCGAACGAACTCGTAAAGCAATATACCCATAGACGCCATGAGCAGATATGGGCGACGTTGAGCAGCTGTCGGCATAGTAGAGCTTGTATGGCGACACCAGACCGTAAGTTGACAAAATTTTATCTCTCACTTTCAAGGGACAAACTGCGTAAACTGGTAGGATTCCTTACGGGACATTACCAGTTTAACAAACATCTACATACGATAGGGGTAGCAACAGACCCAATCTGTCGTGGATGCAATGAAGAAGAGGAAACAGCTGAGCACATTCTTCGTGAGTGTCCAGCCCTAGCCTCCTACAGGGAATCCATACTAGGGGACATCTGGCCTAGTATGGCAAATATCAGGGAGTTTCCACCCTCTGCATTACTCAAGTACATTCAAGCAGTTGGATGGCTTGACGAGTAGAGGAGCGGGAAAACACCCTGATATGGACTTGGGGAAGGTACAATGGGCCCAAAGGCGAGGCCTAAGTGCCGGCTGGCTACGGTCAGCCCCCATAAATTAAGAATCCAGAATCCAGAATCAACGTAGTTTGCTTTTTCTTGTATTTCAAAGTACAAGTTTTTGTTTGCTGATTTTTTAAATTGGCCAAATGAAAGAATAAGAACAGGTTTCTACAGCGTAAAAACGCAGTGGTTTAAATTCTGTGTTGTAAACAACTACGGTAGTGGTATCAATTTTTTATCAATATTCATCAATGCCAGGTACAGACATTTCATTATTTACGTTACCATATAACGTTCTACATATTTTAAAATCTGCAAAATTTTAGCTGAATCGTTGCTGGTAAGTGTGGTTTTCTTTTCAAAAATTCATCTATAATGTGAATGTTGTTACTTCAAATTTATTTTTATCTTCAGGTCTAAAACGATGCGTTTAGATTTTTTATAGCTGCGTTTAAAAATAAATGTACAGATGATGATTTATCGTGTTATTAAAGGGCTATTAAAAATAAAATTACTGTTGGTAAAAAGTAGTTGGGCTACACTCATATAGCTGAAATATTTTTTAAATGTTTTTACCGTTGTAAAATTTAGGGGTAAAATTGCTTGATTTCCAGTGTTTCGCTATTCGACCTTTAGTTTCTTCAGCGCAAAGTAAAGTGGTATTTTTATAGCATATTTCACAATTAGCTGTTATTTAAAATGACGTCGATTTTATTATTTTATGAAACTATTACATAAATCACGAAAAAACATTTCATCATTTCCCGTTATCGTTTATCTGTAAGATAAATTGTGTTACATTTGATACAAGAAGTAAAATGATTATTAATATTACCAAGCGTGCTTCTGAATTGAAAAACAGTTAAATAAATATTTTACGGACTTTGTTTCTGTTTGCAGTTGTTTGAAATTGCTTGCAAGATTTTAGTTGAGCTTTGAGCCATGAATACCAATTTGGGACTGCTACTCTGCAGGTAAGGAATGGTATTGTTATTATTCCTGCAATGGATTTCTCTACAGTTAAAAACTCAAACATGACCTTGGTAGAATATGTAATTTTTACAGAAAAAAAGGAAATGTGGCTAACAAAAAAGACAAACATTATGTTTTTACCTTAATTCAGATTAAACATGACACTTCAAATTAAACAAAAATTTTGTAAGTTATTTGAATATTTGAAAGTAAATATTATACAGAACCCATCTATTAACACAAGTTTTAGCTTTAATTAAAAAAATAATCATATTACTACCAATTTTTCATTATCACCAGACGCTTCGTAACGAAAGTAAAAACAGTCGACCCTCAAGAAATTAAAAATTTTGCTGACATGGCCAACGACTGGTGGAATTTGTCTGGAATGTGTGGGCCTCTTCATACACTAAATAATTGTAGAATACCCTGGATTCAACACCGATTGATCGATTCTGGTGTCATCCAACCACATGCAAATCCATCTGCTCCTCTTACAGGACTTTCCATTCTAGATGTGGGTTGTGGCGGTAAGATCTTCTTTATTACTTCGCATTAATCGGAAAACCAATTTTCAGGTGGAATTTTAAGCGAAGGTCTAAGTCGCCTAGGGTGCAACGTTACTGGTTTAGATGCCGGCGAAGACGTCATTGAAATCGCAAAATTGCATGCCGAAAGTCAAAATCTACCAAATTTGCGATACCTCAACGCAACTATACAAGATCATGCCGCTGCGAATAAGGAGAAGTACGATGTTGTCGTGAGTTCTGAAGTTCTTGAACATGTTACTGAGAAGGAAGACTTTGTCAAGCATTGCGTGGGATGCGTTAAACCAGGGGGTTCTATTTTAATGACAACTCCTAACAAAACTTGGCTGTCGTGGTTCCATATGATTATTGTGTTTGAACACGTTTTCAGAATTTTGCCGAAAGGAACACATAGATACGAAATGTTCATTCACATTGACGAATTGAAGGAGATTTTAAAGAAAGGTGAGTAAAAAGTGTAAAATTGTGCGGTAATTTATGTTTGGAACTTTTTAGAGAATTGTGAAACTGTTCATACTTCGGGAATTTTATATTGCCCAGTTAACAATAGGTGGTACATGAATAAGAATGAAAATCCTACTTACCTTATACATGTTGTAAAACGACCATAAACATTTTAGTTATTTTCAATATATGGGGCGGGGCGTCCCAGTATCATTTGGTGGCTAGGGACGAAGATTTATATTTGCGTGGCAATGGTTTGGCTTTTATATATACACCATTTATTAATTTTGTTTTTACTTGCCAACGTAATAAAAAAGAAGAAAATTTCTCTTCACAAAATTTTTCCTGGTGTAATATGAACTCCTTTAGCGGATTAACTTAAACTTCGAACAATAAATATACTATTTGAAACCATCAAATATTTTTAACAATTTAACCATTATTATGATTAATTAAGTAAATTAGCTTTTACTGCAATAAGTAACATTAGTTATTTTGTCAATAACCTTATTGATAACATTTTTATGGCCAGTGCGTTTTGCATTTCACCTAAATTTTGCAGCAGATTGCACACTACCAAATATGTACAACTTGGTTAATATAAGAAGGCCAAAATAAAAAATACAAAATATGGAATAAAATGTAAAAACAACACGAAAACTCCTATAAATATTTAATTAAAATTAGAATCACATTCTTAATATTTTCCTTGTATACATCTACACTGCTACACTCCTAAAGTGAGTTTTAATTTTACTGTCACGTTGGCGTGCAGGTTAGCATTACTTTTGCTGTGTTTCCTGAATCCATTCATTCATTTGTATTACTGGAAAGTACGAAAATTTATTCTATGCTTTGGAATTGTAATCGTGATTGGATTTTAGCTGATATTTTAAAAAAAGTACTGTTCTTACAAACTGAGATTCCTTGTTTTAGTTTTCCTTTTTAGTTCGTTTTAGTTCAAGTTAATTAAAATCTGCAGTAAATACGAGGTGCCTGAAAATAGTGAAACCCATAGTGGATGCATTTTCGCACATTGTCTTGGAGTCTCTTGAATTGTTTGAGTGTACCTATTTTAAATTTGTATGTAAAAAATACAAGTGTTAAGAAGACATTTTTGTATATTATCTAAATAAATATATTTATGAAGTACAAAACCCATTACGAAAATCTTACATTACATAACATTACATGTTACATTTTAAGTACAAAGAATACTTCTTTGGTATTATTGGCAATAACTTAAAACTGTTCCTAATCTTGTATGTACAAAGTTACTAGACAAATATAGCATAAATAAATACATCTTAAGAATAAAAAATAAAACTACAAAACCGAGGTTTTCTCCGAGCCGCCATTTACAAACACAAATAAATCAGACAATTATAAAAACGCTTAAAACAATAAATACTCAAGTAAATACAAAACTTAAAACTATTTTTAAATCCCTAAATAACTGTTGTCTGATTTTACCATTCCTAAACTATACACAACGTATTATCCTTGCAGACTGAAATCTGTGCTTCCTGCATAATCCTGAGTCGTGGTCCCAACGGTACTCCCATCTTCTGAAGTCTTTCTTCACTAAGATACGGCAGTTCGACCATTCCAACGCGTTCGTTCTCAAATACGTTAGCATATTTCTAAAACAAAAATCTTAGACAAATCGACACAAACATCGCTTTAGACCAACCTCATAACCAAGCTTCCTTAAAAACAATCTCAATAATGGCGGCTCATCGCCAAAAAACTTCGTCAGTTTTTTCACTCTTGTGGGGTTGGCCAGTGTCGGCAAATCCTTGGACGTGTTGATAGCTCTCGTCGCAGACTGCGATCGAACGTTCAACATATTCGTCTGAGTCCTCAGCGCTGCTATTTCACCTCTGATGTTTTCCATTTCTTGGATCATCAGGTGCTGGGTACGCATTTCGGAGGATAAGTGGGCGACGGACCTTAAGTTAACAAGCGAAAGTTAAAACAAGTTTAAAAATGTTTGCATTTTTACCTTGCAAGAGTGACTACGTGAGACTCCAGTCGTTGAAATCTTTTATTGATTCCTCTGATGTCTCTCACTTTTTTTCTGTCTTCGTGGGCACGTCGCTTGTCTCGGATTGGCCGACTGCTGACGGAGCTGGATGGCAAAGACGACATGCTTCCGTATCTTCTTTTACTGAATCTCGGATCTGAAGGCTGGTATCGTCCGCTGTATTTCTTTACACCCAGAAGCTTTAGAACTTCCGAATACATGGTTTCTAATCCCTCCAGCTGTTTTCTAATTGCTCGGGCATCTCTTGTGCTGATATCGCCATCCGAGTCGCTCTGTCCATCCAGCATTGATTCCAAGTCTAGTGATCTGGTTGTGGTGGAGGTCAAGTCTGTGGTATCTAAACCAAAAACTACAAAAAAATTGTAAAACGACAGTCATTAGCGACAACGAAAACTTACTTTGTTTTCCTCTCAAAACCGCATTGTGATCGATTTTCTTAGTGTTTTTGTGTTTTTGGTTATTGCTGTTGTGCCAACGACCATTTGCACTGGACTCTCGCCCCGTGTGGAGCTTTGAAGATCTGCTGTACCCGTCGTAGTCAGGTTTACTTCCATATGGTAAGCTACTGAGAAGTTTTGTTGAAATGACAGCTTCTTGTTTAAATATTGGCGTCAACTCACCTACTGTGTTTATATCTTGTGGAATTCCGTGGCGTGATATTAGGCGAAGACTGTTCTCCAGGTGATAAAGGTGGCAAAGGAGGAGTCATCGACGATATGCTTTCACTCAAAGTCGAATTAGCAATTCCATCTCTATTACCTTGCAACGACAATTCGTGAAGCTTTGGCTCCAAAATATTTCTCAACTCATTCTCCACAATATCCACCCACTCCGAATCATGACTCACATGATCCCTGTAATGTCCATCTCTAACCTGAGCTGCGTCACCCTCTCCTAAATCAATCCCTCCCGGTCTCCTCCCGCTACTATACGCCGCACTTCCCCTCCCAGAGTCCGCATTCGAAGACGACTGTCCTGTTTTATCGTAATCTGAACTAGCAGCGGACCCCGGAGTTTTCTTTCCCCTGAGATCTTCATCCTTGGATCTCTGTCCTACATTGTACACACCCTCGATCTTGCCGATCTCGCCCTCCAGACGCTTTCTCGGCGTCCCTTGCAAAGCTTCAGTCACTTTGTTTTCTTCTTCTTGGTTCGACTGTTCATTTGCTTTCTTGTCATCCAATCTTCTCTCTTTAGAGTTGTTGCGTTTGAGAAAACCACCGTCATCACTGTCCTTTTCTGTATCGGCAGACAACGGAAGAGCAGGACCGGCTTCCATGATATTTCCATGCGAACCGCGACGCGTGGGGGCGGCTTGCGGTTGGGGACGGCTATCCGGAACTTCAGTTTTCGTTTCGTCTTCGTACGCCAGTTGAGGCTGGGAGGCGGCGCGACGAGCTTCGAAACTTTTTTGACGTTGACTGTCCCTTTCGATTTGTTGGGCACTTCGTCGCTCCATCGCTATAGGTTGGCGTCTTTCGTCTTTTTCTTTAGAAGCAGCGAACTGAAAGTGTCGAACTTAGTAAATGTTGATTAAAAAAAATAAAAAAGACAGACCTGGGGATGGTGTTGCATTTGAACGTAGTTTTGTTCTCTGTTCCCCGGTACCACGAATCTGTTTGCGCCTCTTTGTGGCGTCGCTCCGTACGCGTTCTGATAGTACAGCTGTTCGTCGGGCCTCGCTGCCAACATCTCCTGACTTCTAGTCTGCACCAGTTGCTGTTGGTACATAGTTTGCTGCATCTTTAACTGTTGGTTAACCTGATACTGTTGCTGCAACATTTGCTGCTGTATCACGTGCTGATTGTATTGATGTTGCTGGTGCGAGATGTTCTGGTCGATCCGCGGTTTTCCGTAAATACCTTGCTCCCCACTCTTTTTCTCCGTTTGCTCCTCCCCCAAGTTGCGCTGACTCCGCCTTAATTCCTCCGTTACGTTATTCAAACCGGGCTCGTCTGGTTTGTCTTCAGGATTTTCTTTATTGTTATTCTTGAAACGACTAGATATGATATCTTTAATCGTGTGGTAAGTCTTCGTCATGCTCTTCTTATCCTTGGAGGACTGTTCCTTCGATTGTTCAATTTGTACGGTGACCTGCTGTGTGTTGTTTTGGGGAAAGTCTTCCTGGTAGGGGCGGGGGGCGGGTTTTGGGGCGTCGCCGTGCCACGACTGACGTGGCACCGCCCCCGTCGAAGGGTTGGATTGGCCGTTGTAATACTCTTGAGGGGCGGGGTGGTAGGTGGCGCGGAAGACGGGGTTTTGCTCGGTTTGTTGGTGGGGGGTTTGCACCATTCCTGAGTGATTCTGCAAAGAGAAGAACATTTATGGTTTTGGAATGATATCGAAGAGTTCTGCGTCTCGTGGAAACGCGCAAGTTATTTTTACCGAGTCTGTTGTGTTTAAGGCGAACTCGACCATTTTGTCGGAGCAGTCACCGTAACGAACACCGAAACAATACTGAGTGTGTATTAAAATATACATATTCCACAGCGCACTGCCATCTACATAGAATTATAAACAATTCCCGTAGATGGTATCTTTCTCGTGAAAACCCAATCAGACAAGCGTGTAAAGGTAAGGAACCTGCGCTGTTGCCAAGAATTCGCCTTAATTGAACGTTTGCCTTATAAATATAAACACATATTAAGATGCATTATGTATAAGTCGGATGTTACAACGCATTCTAATTGCCACACAACCGGCCGCGGCACTGAAAAAGCATATTACAGATAGTGAGAAGCGAAAAATTCGGCTTTTTCTGCGGTCTCTATAACCGCAAAAATGGGCAATTACGACTAATTAGAGGTTCTAAATCGCGCTTCGATGTTAATTGGTTGTTGAGAATTTTCGTTTTTTTTTTTCGGCTTTTCAACAACGGGAAGTGATAAATTAAGATAACTTTGAATAGATTCGCCGATGGAAGAGCATTTAAATGCAAATCGGGTACTTAAGTGGAACGCGACATCTACTGTCGACGGACTGAAGAAGGACGTCATCGACTTGAATGATGGAATGTGATTGTTCCTGTGTAATAATTTATTCAAAAAGCATGAAAGTGCAAAAGCTGACCTTACGGATGAATCATCATCGGCAAAGACCTTTATTGTCGAATGTACAACAAACAAAAACATCAACAATTCTTTTTAGGTACTTTAAGCAACGCAGCCGACGCTAACAGGGTGCAAAAGATCGTATCGATCCGAAACCAGATCGCACTTTGATGAATTGGTACTACGTCTAACAGCATCGTGGAATTTCTTCAAATCTTTTCTCCAATTATTATTCAAGAAGTACTCCGCTACAATAAAATCAAAGCAGTAGGGTGCTCTCCCAAGTGAAGCAATTTCCACGTCGCATTCACTTTCATGTCCTTGGAGATGCTTTTTAAGTTCGTGCGCTAATTTACAGTCCCAAGGGTTCCCATACAGAACAAGCGTCTTGTTTTCTAGGGATACATTAGTGAAGTTCAAGTTCTGTAATGCGTTGTAAGCTAAAGAAATCGTCATTTTTTGCGTCCCGGGAGTTTGAAGCCATTCCAAAATTCTGTTACTAGATATTTTATTGTTATTTAAATCTAAATATTTTAAGTTTTTCATATTTCTGAAAACCCCATCTTCGACAACACTAATGGCATTGTGTGATATGTCAAAAATGACGAGTTCGTCCATGTGGCTAACGCTAGGTATTTCGTTAAACTTGTTATGGCTAAGACTCAGCTCTTGCAAGTTCAGGTTTTCGAAAACTTCTTTCTGTAAATACCTCAGGTTATTTTCGTCCAAATTCAAAGTCGCCAAACCCGAAGGAAAGCTGCCTGGTTCGATGTGCGTCAGTTTGTTGTTCCTAATAGTTATGGTTTTTGTAGAATGCGTTGAAGGCAAGGCTGAACGTTCGATGTCTTCCAACAAATTGTTTGACAAATCCATATTTTCGATTTCGTGATAAGTAAAAGCATGTGGTTTAATAGATTCAATTTTATTATTAACTAAGCTGAACTTCTTCAGTTTGAGCAGTGGAAAGTGATAAGGTTCGATGGTTCCCAGTTCATTACCATACAACGTGAGGTATTTCAGAGGACTGTTGTAGTACGTACACTGAAAACCGTAAGTTGCAATGAGCTGATTTATAGCTCTAATGATGATCAGTGTTGTTAGTTTGTTGTATTTCTCTATCCTCAGAGTTCGCATTAGGTCAACCGAAGTGGGTGTGATATCTTTGTGGTCAGATCCGATCATTAATTCGGCGATATTTTCCACTTTGGTGTAGTTGGCAAAATCTTTGAAACTATCACATATAGTCATGTAGGTTTGTGTGCACTCACATCTGATCACGGAGACGTACGTTGCAAACGAGAAAGAAATTACAAGTACTTTTGCTAACATGTTGTTGGGTGCAGTGTTTGATTGGTACTGAAGAATCCATCTCAGTTCCCCACTTTTAAGTGGTAATCTCGGCAGCTCGTACAGGAGAAGCGTTGTGGGATTGTACACACTGATTATATTATCCTCGGAGTCCTAAGGTCAGGGTATTTTGTAATGACCGTGAAACTGAGCAATGATAATCGTGCAGATGTAAATTTAATACGCGCACTTTACGTTAAACCGTACAGAGTTTAATATTTCATTTAATAGGCAATCAGTTATTATTCAAATTTCAAATTTATTTATTCTACAACTAATTTACAACAATGTTCAACACAGCTAAATAACTAGATGTACATAATTAAAATTAATTAATTTCTAAACAAAAATACTTAAAAAATACATATATTCCTCTTTGATTTAATTTATGTATGACACACTGAATAATTCGAGTGGGCGTTGGCAAGACGATTTAATATAAATTCTCCAGCAATAAATACAAAAATTAAAAATTTTTTTAAAAGAAAGATGAGATTAAGTTTCCATGCAACAATGCCGAAATCCATCGAGATTTTATACACCAGAACGTACATGTCTCCAAGGATTTTGACTTTGTTGTATGGATTTTTTTTCCTAGAAAGCTCAGCCTCCACGTGCACTTTGTCAAGAATCTATTTTGCACTGTTTCATTTTTTTTATTAAAATGAACCTAAAGATTCTGAAAGTTATGACTTTGATTTATTAATTTTGAAACTTTCAAATAATTGGTACACAGAGTGTTATAGTTGGCCTTAACAACAATTCATACATCATTAAGTGCGGCCACAGTGGGATGCTTGAAAAATTTTCGAACTCATATGTCCTATTTTTGCATACCTACTGTTTAAATCTAGTAATAAAACAAGGAACTCTGAACAAATATAGTATCAAATTTATGCTTCTTTTCTGTACTTATTTATCTTTTTGCTTCCCGAGCCTAAGTTGCAATAGAGTCTGTGTGTGTCAATTTTTATTAGACAGATAATTTTCTAAACTACCGGATCGATTCTTGTCAAATTTTGTGTACATATTAAGAATTTGCGTAGATGGTAAAATGCTAACCAAAATTTGTCTGACCATCTTCGTCAACATAATCTACGTCCTCTCCAACTTTTATTCTCCATTGTAAATGTTATTTAAATTTTATAAAATAATATAATCTTCTCACACTTGTAGTTTATTAAGCTGTGTCGAGTTTTTATCATAGGCATCCAGATTTTTGTAAGAGAAATCAAAATTATATAACATTTAAAAACTAATGATGCCATCCCAAAATTTTGACAAATCTAAATCTAATCTATCTAAAATAAGCAAATTATGATCAGTATATACTTGTGATTTATCATTTCATTCACATCTTTTAGAAGTACTTACAGGGTGCCTCACAAAAATTAATAGGTCAATTTATATTATTGATTTGAATCAAAAACTGCAAAACCGAATGCTTTGAGAGATTTTAAAATTATCGTAAACAAGGTAAATTTGTAATCAAAATATATCTGTTTATCCCCTCCAAAAAGTTGGTGACGTTATCTCAAAATTTCGCCGAATAAATACTATCGAAAATGTGTAAAATATGATGAGCCTATATTTGTGATTTATCATTGCATTAATATTTTTTAGAATTGCTTAAATAGGGTAAGTTCAATTTTTCCAAAAATTTGGAATACAATACTGTGATTGTGATTATTAGTATTACTGCCCTATCCAAATTGATGTACTTCCTAAATGTTGATGTTGTTATCACAAAATTTTGTAAAAAAAACTCATTTGAAACATACGCGTACCGTTACGCTTCTTTAAAGATATATATCTTTATTTCAACTTATAGAGGTACTCATAAAAAATATAAAATTCGCAAAATCAAATTTTATCAATTTTCGAAAAAGCTGGATGTTCTATTGTAGTTCAAGGGCAAGAGACGTTCTGTCAGAATAACCTTCGACCAATTTTTTAGTAATACTTATTTATAATGGGTGAGTGACTCAAAAAATTAATGAAAGAGACTATCGGAGGGGTCAACCACTGTGCGCAGTATGTGTACGTTTTTTATGCAGTAACTGTGCAGTATACCTAGCTCATGCGCACTGCAATGGTCAAGTCAAGTACCTACTAAAAAATGCTCTCGAAATGCCCTCTGTGTGATCATAAAACCTTAAAAGCAGATTTAAATAAGCATTTACATAATTGCCATGACATTATTGTAGAAGCTGAAGAACTGAATTTCACATCAGATGATGAATATAGCAAGTGGCAAAATAATCTAGAGGCTCCTACAAAGTCAAAATTTGTGAAGGAGTACCAGACATTATCTAAAAATAATAAGACGATCAGCCTAATTTGTCATAGATCAGGAAAATATGTATCTGAAAATATGTACAGGTAAACGACACCTTAAAACACAGCTTTCAAATAAAATCAATCCCTATTGCCCAGCTGCCATTAAAAAAACAACAGATAAAACAAATAACACCATCAAAGTCACATTCACAAAAACTCATGTGGGTCACGAGCAAGATCTAGGACATTTATTTTTAAGTTTAACGGAACGACAATCTATTGCAAAAAGAATTGCTTTGAAGATACCATTATCATCAATTTTAGATGAAATTCGTGATTCCGTGAATAATTCAGAACTGGAAAGACTTCATCTTCTGACTAGGAAAGACTTGTATAACATCGAATCTAGTTATAATCTAAATTCAACTTCAGTTAGACATAAAAATGATGGTGTGAGTGCTGATTCTTGGGCAAGAGAGATGCAAGACAATAAAATCGTATTATTTTAATTATTATGACAGAAGCTCAAAGTGAAATGTTTCTCAAATACTCTTTTGATTGTGTACACTTGGACGGCACCCATGGTCTAAACGGACATGGGTTTGATTTAAACACGCTCCTAATTGTCGATGATCTGAGATAGGGATTCCCCTGATATCAAATGGATCAGACGAAACAATCATGCGCTTATTTTTTTCATGTATAAAAAATAAAGTTGGTAACATCGCTCCAAAAGTATTTATGAGTGATATGTCGGAAGTATTTTACAATGCTTGGAAGGACACCATGAATCTCTCACAGTTAAGGTAAAACCACTTTGATATGCTCAAGAACTCTTTAACATTTTTCTTATGTTTTAGACTTTACTGCAGCTGGCATGTAGATAGGGCGTGCCGAACAAATTTCAATAAAATCAGCTCCAAGGATAAACAAGTAAATGAAAATGAACAACAATAACATTTTTCCAAATTATTAGCAATGAATTTAATTTTTACAGGCTGAAGTTTACAGGAAACCAAGAATCTTAATTCAAGAGAAAGATATGTTTATTACATTTAAAATAATGTTACAACAATTTCTGGAAGATCTTGCAGCTGACTCGCACATTCAGTTTCTAGAATATTTCAAAACTTATTATGCCAATAAAGTAGAGTTCTGGGCTTACAATTACAGAATTGGCGGTGGAATCAACACCAATATGCATCTCGAACGAATGCATCGCACCCTTAAATATATACATATACTTGATTGGAAAGAATGTTAAAAGACTTGATAAAGCTCTCCATGCAATCATGAAATTTGAACGAGATAAGTTGTTCGACATGTTGATTTGTGGGAAGATAAAAGAACTTCGAAAACGTCACAAAGTTTCCAAAAATATGGATTTATCATCAATTATGCAGTGTGGAACATATTGGCAAATACCTTCATCTTCCAAAGGATTTGAATTCTACACAATTGAGGAAAATATTGTTACGAAATAAACCCATACGCCGCCCCGGTACTACGCTTATGGGTCTTCTAGTATGTACGTGTTTCTTCTCGTATGTAGTATGACTCATCGGCCGCTCGGATGCAAGCGGATCTCGTGACGGGCCCAGAAAAAGTCTCGAAGCGGCGCTCGAAAAGCGTAGAAGCGGAAGTCGCGAATACCCAATTCGAGAAAGAGGTCGATCGCCGAAATATGGATCTAAATACAGGCCACTATCAGGAATGATTATCCAGTCAAGAAGTCGAGTGAGCGAATGCATTTAAGTTGCGAAGTTATTTTGTACGTAATCGTGTAATAGTTAGTAGTGTAATTCGAGTTATTAAGAAATAAATTGTCGAGTTTTACTCACGCCAATTTTAATCACCCGTACATCGTAACAATATCAATGGATGTACCTGTCCAATTATTTGTTCAGAATGTTCTAGCTGTATCCATCACTACAAATGTAGTTGTCTTGACTAGTCAATCAAATGGAACATGTGCAAACACATTCATCTTTTGGTTCAGCTTTTAAATGCAAATAGGGCTAATAACAGAGAAATGCCCTCACAGTCAAAAGGTAAAAAAATCTATTCTATTTGTATAATACATACTTATTAAAATTTTTAAAAACGTCATATAGCATATTTAAATTTTCCGATTATTATTAATTTTTTGTTACACAGGTTCCTTTTAAAGCGTTTGTACTTCCTTTTGAATAATAGATTAATTTTTCATTAACAATTGAAATTAATTGTCCTAAAGAAATCAAATTTTGGATTTTTGCTGAAACTTTGAAGGATATTAACACCATCAAAGAAACAATTACTCCAATACCGTCAATATTAGCAGCACAGAAATCAATTACCACGCCCTCGGTTTTAGCAAACGTGCCCTCTAGTAAAAATTAACTCCCGAGAGAAGATTGTTTTCCACTCGGAAACAGAAAAACAAGAAAGACCGAATTTCGAAATAATAGACGAAAATGTTGCACTTCAGTTAGTATTTACTAAAAATTATTGATTATTATGACATGTCATAGTAGTGTAATATTTATTTTATTTGTTTTTCGATTCTGTATTTATCTCCTCCATTTCTTTCTTTTAAACTGAAAAAATAATTAATTATTATGTAATCAAAGTCTGATAATTATTTTTTCCATTTTGTTTCTTCCTACCCACTAGTGTTGAGAGAAGATTTTAATTAATCCTGATAACTGTCTGAATTAATATCAGGTTTACTATCCGGGGGTATTTACATTAATAGCTTGTCGGGTATTTATTTTAAATTTGGCGCCATACGGTTTGCAATTTTCTAACCAACAAAGTTTGGATGTCATTTAAGATTTAAGCTGGATAATAATTTAACGAAACCAAAAATGATTGTAAATGAAAATCATGACAGTTCCAACGAGGACGAAGCTGAGGAATTTGCAAAGTTTATTATACAATATATGTCAAATTCCGAGTTCCCTCTACAGGGACTCTAGAAAATTCAGCTCTTGAGCAGGAATAAAGAGAGCTGCTTTGTGTTATTGTTTTTTTTTAAAGAATTTATTTTTAATTTTATCTTCTGAGAAATTAAGAGATTTCAAGACAGATGAAGAGTATTAAGAATTAAGAATTCTGTTTTTTTGCTCAGTGACGGTAGTTTATATACTTATTTTTTTAAGTAACTATGTTGATTTTTATTATAGAACTTCAATAAATATTTATTTTTCTTATTCAAATAACAGATATTACTCATTACCTACCCTACCACCTAAATATTACAAATAGAACGATAAACAGTCAGTGTGTAGGTATATAAATAAATATTTGGGTAATAATCCAGGATAAGAGGCCATGATAAATATCCGAAGGTTGTAATCCGGGATAACAAACAATTATAAGATTCAGAAGGATTTAATCCAGTCGAGACGGCTATTTATATAAATAACCGGCTAGTTAACAACATTACTACCCACTGCATGAGTATTTTTTATCTGATTTCTATTAAATGGATGTTGTCATATATTTTTTTTTAATTTGGCGCTCAAAAAAATAACAACTCGGCCTATTTCGGCTGCCTTACCTTCGGGATGGCTTAGTGATAACTGAGAGCCTAGACGCTAGTCTAAATTAGTCAATCGAGTTAAATTCAAGCACACACCCAATTTTGGTACTTTTAGACGGTTGAAGGGTTGATGCTTCGAGCCGCATAAGCATCATTACAGTATATTTGAAAACTGGAGGATTTACGTCCGGCGTTTTCTTTCTTTAATAACAAGCAGATTTCTTATCAGGATTGTCGGTTTCACGGATTTCTCTTCACATGAATGTACAGTGATAATTACGTGGTTTAGCAGTTCGGTGACACAACTTAAATGGCATCACTATGAACAATTTACGTTTCATAAAAATAACTGATTCTTTTATACACTTTCCACGGTAATGTAACTTTGTCTCTGCATGAAATTTTCCACGCATTATTGAGGCACTTTAAAACGTCTTCTTAGCATCACATCCAATAGCTATTCTTTTTATATTTATTTACAAGAACTTTCCTCTTCAGAAAATGTTTAAATTAAATTTTGCATTTTTTTTTATGATAACCTTTATTAAAGTACAGGTAAAGAAGTATGCGATGCGATGTTTCAGGTGAGTTTTCTCTATACAAAATTTACTGATGACTTTATCAACATTCGGACAAGAACACAAATATCAATTTGAATAGATGGAGTGCACTACTAATAATGACAGTACTGTAAATTAAAGTTTTCCGGAAGATGAGGTGAGTCGTTTTTGATTTGATAAATAAAATAAATTGTCTATGTCGAAATTTGTACATGTAGTATCAAAAACGAAAATACTGCCTACTACTACGTAAGCGCGGCGTGGAATAATAAGAATTATCTTGTATCAACGAATTTCAAATGTGTAGGTCTCGGTGTAGGTATACATCTAATTTAGTCGCTAGGTCATTTATTTTCGTGAATACTAAACTATTATGTACCCACTCTACAAAAATTGTTACCTGGACGGGTTTGGTTATTCCTACTATTGCACTTACGCAGTGTATGCAAAGAAATGTGACATATTTTCATGAAAGGCTATCAATATTATTATTAACCTCTGAGAACCTACGTATGTTCCAAGCAATGTTTGCTGTGGGTAATTAAAAAATCTGTATAATTTTTGTGATATGATTTTCCACCAAGTGGTTAATTAGCTAATACTGAAAATAGGTTGCATTCTAAGATAAGTGCTGTTGGGATTTTATGCAGGGTTAATAAGCTAAGTGTGCTAGCGTTATTCCTCAGACTTATGAAAACACATTGACCTATGTGTTTATCGGGTAATACCGACAAGTAAATGACGTAAAAGTTAACAGATTACATTCTATGTAAAAAGTGATGTTCAAAGCAAATTAAATATGCAGTATTGAAATCAATGCCACATTTTGATACTTGAAACGTCTTTGCAAAAAGTTCTCCTATTATCCTGAAACAATTTTTTATATTACTGACTCTAACCGGTTTAGATATTATAAGCTTTTGAAGAAAAAATCAAGTACTAATTTATTGCTGCTGCAATATTTATTAAAAAAGACAATCCATTATTAAATACTTATTTTCACAATCAGAGAAAGGTCAAGTGGTACAACAAATGATATTTTTTAAAGGATAAAACGTACTGTGACATGTCTTATTCTTCAGAGTGTTAGTGTGATATCTATCAACGTTTCTTTCCTACATGTCACTACAATAATTATTATAAACTTCCTGGGAGTAATTAATGTTGAAGGGACTATCTTCGCTAGCTAGAAACTACATACTTATCACACTAACTTTCGTTTTCAATTATTTTCTGTTCTAGATTATTCCATATACTACAATTTCAAGGAATCGAATCCTGTAAAAAAGAAGAGTTTTTTTTTGAAGATTTAAGTTTGCTAAATGTAGATACTTGAGTCGATTCAAGACTTACGAAATATGCAACGACAGTTGTTTGTAAGGAACGTAAAAGCAGTTTAAAATATAAATGCAAACAATCTTGTTGTTACTTAAATCAACTGCTCAAATCGTCCATTTCTTTGATCGTACCTTTAGTAGTTCAAATTGTTTTCATTCAAACTCCAGATTGGACGGAAATTTTTTAGAAGGAATGTACGAAGTCTGTTGTTTCTAATGTAAAAGGTTTTGATGATAGATCAAGATTCTCCATGCTTTGCTGCATGAAAGCTTCTTTTCCAGTCGATGCCATTTGATTATTAACCAAACCTTTCTATGCGAATAGACCCAGGTATTTGAGAGATGTGGTAACGTGAAGACACTCAATGAAACTTCATTTACAAACGACGCATTGACCGCATGATGATTACGGACGACAGTTGATACTTGAGTAATTTTAGTGTTTCCATAGAATTAGCCGGTACCATTTGTGTAGTTCCTGTCTCTGACTCTATAATCACCGCGCTTAAATTTTTGGTCACGTTGTAATTTTCGAAGTCTTCGAAAGTGTCACATATTGTTAGGAAAGACGGTTTACACGCACATAAAACTGTTTTAAAGTTAAAAAATAGCAAAAGAATGACAAACAAGATGTTGTAGGATCCCGGGTTTAGTTTATCATTATCAATTACGATAAGAGATAAATTGTCGGGAATTTTAAACAACGCATCCTTTATGAATCGGATATAACCACTCATATTTTTTTGGTGCTAGCACACAACCTGCCGTCCTCTCGCTCTTCCTGAAAGTATCGTGAAATCTGTCAACATCACCTTCGTCTAAACGGGAAAGTGGATAAAGTGCAGCTCGAAAATTAATACAGTACGGCATGTTTCCATTGGACAAAAATTTAGAATCACATTCACTTTCATGTCCTGCTAGCTTCATTTTTAATTGTGGCCATGTATTGCAATCCCATGGGTTTCCGTACAACGCTAGCGCTTGATTTTGTAGAGATACGTTGTCAAGGATTAGATCTCTTAAACGATTCAGAGCCAGCGACACTGTTAAAGACGGTTGTTTACCAGGCGTATTGATCCACTCCAAAACTGACGCACTACTAATCCTGTTATTGCTGAAATCTACCAACTTTAAGTCATCCATATTCTTGAAGGTATCTTCTTTAAGGGTACTGATCGCATTGTACGAAATATCGAAAACAACCAACTTCTTCAAGTGGCTTATCTTTGGAATGACGTTGAAGTTGTTGTGACTTAAAGTCAATTCTTTGAGGCTTAATAGATTTTCTAGAACCTCATTCTCAATGTATCTGAGTTTGTTGTGGTCTAAATTCAAGGACTGGAGGCTTGGCGAAAGACTTCCATGCTCAATATGGGTTAAGTTGTTGTTCCGAATAGAAAGGATAATTAAACTGTCTTGCAAAGGCAAAGATTCACTTTCCACGACTTCTAAGAAATTGTGAGATAAATCCAAATTTTCGATTTCATGGTTCTTCAAAGCGCCTGATTTAACTTGCTCAATATTATTTCCAGCTAAACTCAATTTTTTGAGACGAAGTAGAGGAAAATGGTGTGGTTCGATAGTTTTGAAGATATTTCCGTGAAGTATGAAGAACTGCAAGGGACTGCCTGTATATCTACATTGGTAACCGTACCTTCGTACTTCTAGTTTGTTGATAGCGTGAACTATCATCAGTGTTGACAGTTTGTGATAGCTGCTTAGTTTCAATTGTTCCATGAAATCTACTGACGTCATTGTACCAGTACCGTATTCTGAGCCTATCATCACTTCACTTAATGTGTCGGAGTCGTCGTGGTTTTTAAAGTCTTCAAAAGTGTCACATATCGTTATGAACGACTGGCTACACTTGCAGTTAACGCCAATAGAAATAAAAACTGTTGTTATCAAAATTAATATGTAGTTAGAAAAAGGCATGTTGTGACTAATGAAATAATACTTGGTACTGAATCAAACTGTTACGTACTTGCAAAAATAAACTCCAATCATTGATAACCTCTGCTTTTTGATAACGATACTGTTTTTGGGTTATATGGCGAAGTAAATAGTATAAAAAAAATTGAAACTTAAAATCAATAATAAATATTATATATTTTTTTATAAAACCAGATATCTCATCCTGTCTAAAATACGAACTCTGAAGGTTATCAATATAAAGTTCAAATAGGTCAGGTTTAACAGCTCCTTCAGTGTGATCCATATATTTATATCACGCTGAGTTTAATACATATGCTTGATCTCACTACCTTATGGACTTAAATAGTAAAATTTTTTAAGGTAAAATAGGTACGCAAGGGTAATTAATTTCATTTCAAATGAAATAAAAATAAAATTTTTGAATTGAAGTGTTAACACAAGGTGATGAAAATATCTCTCAATAATAAAAATACGAAAAGCGAACAGTTCGTCTACGCTTGACAGATGTAAAGATGTGTATTGGAGTTGACCCGCAGCTTTCAAATGCTATCACTCTGTTTTGGATTAGTGGAGACCTCTCGACTAAAGCAGATGTAGTTTTGGAATTTGAAAGAATCAGTGATTAGATTAAGATGGACTATATATTTCCTAATTTTTAGAAGTTCTCTGTTTTTTAAAGAAACATGATTTCAACGGGCAAAAGGAAAAAAGAACATTCAAGTAAATTAGCAAAACAAGCAATTGAAATAGTTATAAGACACTAAAAATACTGATGTTTCAGATTCTTGAGTTATAAAACGGTAACGGGCATAAAAAAAAGTTTCATGATATGTTTTAAGAATTGGTTTGGAAGTACTTCGTGATTAAAACCAATTCTACAACTTTCAGTTCTTTGTAAATATTGTTATGATGAACAGTAATTTAAAAATCGGCGTGGGTAAAACTCAACAATTTCTTTCTTAGTAACTCAAATTTACATGCCTAATTACATAGCGATTATCTACAGACTAACTCCGACTCGACTGGAATGGATTTGACTAGATTCTACTTCTCCCATTGTCTGGACTGCTCCATTTAAACACCACGCAGTCCGCCGTCACCGCTTCTAGGCTTTTTCTGGAGCACCCATCGCGACTTCCAGGCTTTTTTTTAGCGAACGCCGTCCGGCCGCCGTCACCGACGATGAGTTACTCATCATCGCCGCACATACTAGAAAACCCATAGGCGTCGTATGGGTTTATTTCGTAACAATATATGTCAGTATTTTATTAATACCTTCAAATTCATCGTTGCATATGCAGGAATAGAGACGGTTAAGTAATGTTTAAGTCATCAACGTTGGTAAAATTGTTAATATCAAATGAAAAATGCAGCCGTAAGTCACATTTTCAAAACCAATTTCTAACAAGCTAATAAAACTGTATTTATCCAGCTATTTAGACAGAAAATTGATAAATTTTGTCTTTTGTTAAACAAAAACAACAGCTCGAAGGAATCCAGTGTGGAATTTCACCATCAGAAATCTTTTTATCACATTCACTGGCATGTCCGCGTAACTTGTACTTTAAATCGAACCATTTATCACAATCCGGCGGATTTTCATGCAAAACAAGGGTTTGATTTTGTAGAACCACTGTATCAACATCTCTCTTGTTATTAAAGACAACAAAAATAGTTGTTCACGCTATTGATAGCATTATAATAAATGTCAAAATATCTTAGATACCTCGTGTGTTTTATTTTTGGCAAGTCGCTAAGATTGTTATAGCTCAGTGTAGACTCTTGAAAATTAGTCAAGGACTGAAGTACCTCATCCTGTATATGTACTTGTCTTAACTTAACTTGTTTCTGTTCAAACTTTTAGGCTCGATGAGTGTCAACTTGTTTTTCTTCAGCGTTATCACTTTTATCGATCACTTCTAACAAATTCTCAAAGAAGTCAAAATGTTTGATGGTGCGATTGGCAAAGGCAAACTTCTGTGACGAATTAATCTGACTGTTCACAAGGGTTAACCTATTCAGAGAATCTCCGACTGGCAAGTGAAACGGCCCAGCACTTTTGAAGAGATTTCCATAAAAAATGAAATGGTCTAGAAACACATGTCTTATCTATATTCGTAAAACTCTTGAGTTATTTCAAGCTGCTTGATGGTGCAAACGATCATCAACGTTCTGAGTATATAGAACTTATTCGGTTGCACTGTTTTCATAAAATGGACTATGGTCATGTTCGTGTGTCTATTTTCGGTGTCACTTAATTAAATTCTACTTGAAGAGAGACAACATTATTGTTAAAAGATAAAGCTGCTACTGAATCATGAACTATATAATATTGCGGCTTTAAAGCGATAACTATGTGTTGCCACAAGCGAACCAGTGGCACTGTGTATTCGCTTTGTGGAGAAAAACTTTAACTGTTCACCTTGACATTAAGAACTGAAAGGGTGTAATCCATTAATCATGTATGGCTGCGGATGTGGGAAATTCGGAAATGATGATAAGCGGCGACCATCGGATCGCTTACGTCATCGGACACAAGAAAGAATTGTATTTGTAGTTAACGGAACATTTGCTTAAATACTTTTGCCCCCCAGTGGATTAACTTGGCTACTTCCGGTATGATTTTAGGATGTTTACTTACGTCATGAGAACACCGTATGATTTTGACGCATAGGTCAAATCAACTCAGGTCCAGTCAGGTCACGACACCGCAAGGCAGACATACATCATACATACCAATTATTCCCAGAAAAATTGCTAGTTAAATGGACGCAGGAAAAGGCACAGAGATAAAGACGTTTTGCATGAAAGAAATACAGGCTGCTGAAGTTACATTAAAACATGGGAAAGCCCCGAGCAACATATTGGAGAACATATTTATTATTTTAAAAAGAGGTGAATTCCTGGAAGAGTTAAAGAAAAAACTTGTCTTAATTGAGAGAAAAAAAAAAAAAAAAGAAAAATCAGGAAGATTCTATAACGTAAGCTGTTGTGGAAGATAATCAAAACGTCTATGAACCCAATAAAAATGCTCCAGTTAAGTCCAATATTACTAATGCTACCAGTAAAACGAGGGTAATGAAGACCTTGATAATTGGTACTTCTCAAGTCACCAATGAAAATGGAGATGCTCTTAAAGATCGTAGTAATGAGTTTGTTGCTGTCACTAGGCGACGAAAAAGGGACATTCATGTCACAAGAGTAAATCCTGGGGTTAATATTAGTAGGATTGAAGATTATATTAGGAATAAATTACAGTGTGTTTGTAGCGCAAATGACAATATGGACAATATTCAATTCTTTGAACTCAAACAATTTAAATTCTAAGTTTCCGGATAAATACAGTTCCTTTAAATTATCAATCGATTTCTCATTAATTGAAAAAGTTTTGGATCCATCTTTTTGGCCAATCGGTATTGCTGTTCGTAAATATTTTAGTCCTCGTAGTGTACGAAGACAATCAAATTTTCAAATAGGTCCAGATCATCAAACTCAGAGTTAACTATTTATTATCAGAATGTTAGAGGGTTGAGAACTAAAATCAGTGATTTATATTCTAGTGTATTGTGCGAAAACTATCCGATAATTTCATTAACAGAAACTTGGCTTATTAATGAATAATGACACATTTTTTAATAGGGAAATTATAGATGATAGACATGTTGTTTACAGAAAGGATAGATCCTTTTTAGAGACGAATAAAGAACGTGGTGGTGGTTTAATGATAGCTGTTATGAAGAATATTCCTTCTACTTTACTGCAAATTGATACTCTTCAAAGAGAAGAAGTTTGGATACTAATCTCGTTTAATGGCATTCAAATTATAATTGGAACTGTGTATTTGCCTCCTAATTCACCCTTAGCTATGTATTCTAACCATATATCTTTGGTTGATTCTTTAATTGCTGATTATCCTAAAACTACAGTATGTATTGTTGGTGATTACAATTTGCCTGGATTGAGCTGGAAAAGTGATACTAATTGTAATTATTTAATACCCGTTAACGTTGTTTCAATGATTGAAGAATTAATTTGTGACAATTTCGTTGTGAGTGGTCTTTTTCAATAGAACTCTATATTGAATTGAAATGATGTAATTTTGGATTTAAGCTTTAGTAATACTACACTTATCACTGAAGAATGTTTATCCTTATTACCGAAAGATATAAATCATCCTGCCTTTATTATTAAAATTAGTGACATATTCTTGCCTTTACTAGATCGTACTATATACACATCTTATTTGGATTTTAAGAACGCGTCATTTGATGTAATTAATACCTACCTGGAGCAAATTGATTGGTTTACCATGGAAAATTTTTCTCATCTTGATGATTATATGTATTATTTTTATTCTCACATAAATTCTCTTATAACTCGTTTTGTTCCTATTGTCATTAAAAAAACTCAGAACAATTTTCCTTATTGGGTTGATAACCATACAAGATCTCTTACTGTGAAAAAAAAGAAGCTCATAGGAATTTTAAGGTAACTGGATTATATTCAGATTACGTAAAGTTTTGTGATCTTAGACGTACATGTAAGTTGGCTATGAACTTGTGTAGGAAAAATCATATTCAAAGTGTTGAGCAGAATATTATTGTTAATAGTAATGGTTTTTGGTCATTTGTCAAGAAATCAAAATCTAATACAGTGGGGTTCCCCTCTTCTATGTTCTTAGGTGATATCCTAGCTGATTCTTCTAAATCCATTTCAGATTTGTTTGCTACTTATTTTCAAACTGTATATACGGTAGCTGATACTGATGTTAATATGAGTTCATCAAATTGGAAAGACAATCTTGTTGATATTAATTCATTTGAAATGTCCACCGACCTTGTTTTGTCTAAATTACTTTCCTTAGATTCTTCTGTTAAAATAAGTCCAGATGGTATTCCATCACTATTTTTAAAACAATGTGCTCACAATTTATGTTTTCCCCTACAAATTTTATATAAAAGATCTTTACAATTATCCGAAGTTCCTACAATATGGAAAATTTCTTATGTTA